ACGCAGAGGGGCCAGGACCCTGTTGCCCCCCCCCCCCAAGCACCAAGAATACAGAGCATCACTTGCCCCAGAGCTCCTATCTATGCCTTGTGGCTAATAGCCACTGATGGACCTCGGCTCCATATGCTTATCCAATTCCCTCTTGAAGCCATCCATGCTTGTAGCCGCCGCCACCTCCTTGACTCCATTTTATCCCTGTGGAGTAAGTTAAGCAGAGCATGTGTGACTGGTCCAAGGTCACCCAGCAGGCTTCCATGGCAGAATGAGGATTCGAACCTGGGCCTCTCAAATCCTAATCCAATACTCTGAATACTGTACCACTCTAGCTTTTGTGATGTACTGCTTGAAAGTATGCTGGAAAGTGCAGGCAAAAGGAGCTGAGAACTAACAAGCTGTTTCATTGCATTAGACAAATTGCATGAGACCACCATTGTTACAAGACTAGGTTTAACAGTCTGAGCGTGTTGATGTCCTCTTTGGCAGGTGCTGCGGAAGCCTCTCAGATATGCATGCATCTTCATCTTCTTTCTCAGTCTGCAAAAGGATTTGCTCTTCTGTTGCACCCTTATTTATTGGGGGAGGGTGCCTTCCCCACCCCCGGATCTGGGTTAGAATCCAGGGATTTGGATCTCAGTTTCCATAACACAGATTTATTATCATTTCTGCCTAAGCTAGGGAGCCATATCTAAAATTCAGAGGCAGGGTTGCCCCCAGATTGTTCCTAAAGTGACTCTTAGAGGTGAATTTGGATGTTCATCAAAGGTTCAATCAAAAAGAAACTTTGAGGGAAGGAAAACAATATAAGGCAGGCCTGCACACAGGCAGGAAAATGCGGGGGGGGGAGCGTGGCTGTTTGCCCCGGGGCAAAATAACGCACGGTTGCGTGGTAGGGGGGAGGTGCCGAGCGCACCACAATCCTGCGCCACGGCAAAGAAGCGGCGCAGCAAATGGATGGTTTTATTCTCCGGACACCAAAGTGTGTGCATGCCCCGTTAGGTGCTTGTGCGCATCCCATGGACAGTTGGGGGGAAAAAAACCTTTATACGAGGGGGCATGGGCAGGCGCCGGAACTACCACCGGAAACGTGATCAGATGCCCGCCCTTGCCCCGCGGTTACCGGAAACTAGTACCTCCGAGGTACTAGTTTTAACTGCGCATCTTCAGCGGGAAGCTCGGGTTCGGCACGGGAGCTCTACGCTTCCCAGTTGTGGCGGTGAGATCGCGCCCGGAAAATCCGCCTATCTTCCATCTCTCTAGCGTGCCTAATGCTCCGTGTGACCGCAGCCTAAGACTAGTGAAATTTCTTAAAAGGGTTTTACTCAGAATTATCTGCTGTCTCATAACTGAGACTTTTTAATTGATTAATCCATTCAAAGGGCCCCCTATATTTTGTACAGATAATTGTTTAAGTACTTAATTATTTAAAATGTTTTTATACCACCTTTGTATCAAAATGTTCAAGATGACTGTATCACTTTATCCCTGTGGAGTAAGTGAAGCAGTACTGATTTGTCCTTTATCATAAATGGTATGCAATGGTAGCTGCAGAATTCTTGGTTTACATTGTTTGGGCATGGGGAAACCCTGCAAGTATTGGTGTTGCACTATAAAATTAAGCAAAACGAAGAGCTTACAAAAGTTTTTTATGACTTAATCAGCATAAATTAATATGACTGTTCTTTGGTGTTAATCTCTTATCAGACAATTATGCTAGGCACAGAATAGACATATCAGAGATCATATTTTTATTTCTGGTAATTCTTCTGATCTCCAGGTCTACTCCTATCAGCGATCATTTCTGTTTCTCTCTTAACACCATGAACAGTAATAAGACGTGGTCCTGTGCATGCCTGCTTGAAAGGCCGCTTCCACACAGTGGCTTTGCTCTGTTTTGGCATCCAGATCAGGGAGTGTTCCTCTGTGCATCCATGGCATCATCCCCTAATCGTCCTCTTTCTAACACCCACCCCCCACTTTGCTGCAGTGTTTTTTTAAACCTGGTTGGATATCATCTTTCCTGAGAGATCTCATTCAAAGCATGTTTGTATGCACTGTGCACATTTTTGCAATTCCTGGCCACATCGATACCATGTTCCTTGCCTCTGCTGCTATTCTGCCCCCCCCCCCCCCCCCCCCCGTGGAAGACTTTTGTGGGTGTGTTGTGTTTGGAGAGGGGAGGGATCAGCAATTGACCTATTGCTGTAGTATTATAAAAATCTATCAACTAGGCCATCTGAATTTCCAGCTTTCATTTCCAGCCCCTTTCACGACGGAGACATATTAGTAATAAGTGGGGCCAAAGCAGGAGTGTTGAACTCATTTGTTTTGAGGGCCAGATCTGACATGAATGTCACTTGGTTGGGCTGGGCCACATGTGCCATAAAATGGAATGCCAGATACCAGCGAGATAAACTTTATAAAGAACACCGGCAAACCCAATTAAAGATTTTATTTTTTACTCAAGATACAAATATGCTTAAAACATTAACACTCTTAACCACATTTCCTTAAAATATCTCCCTGATGCCCGCTGTCCCACTTCTAGCTCCCATGACTCATCAGCACAGCCTCTGTCATCTGGCAATAAAGGTAATGACCCATTGCTCATGGGCCGGTTGCAGCCCACGGGCTGCACTTTTTGACACACCCAGGTTAAAGACTTCCTTTTAATTTAATGAAGACTGAGAATTCAGAGAATCTAGCCGTTAGATCCTTATAACACTTTAATGATATGTCAGTTGCTAATTTTTTTACAAAAGCCCTGCAGTGGCAGGGGAGAAAAGCAGCTGTGGTCGGCTGAGGCAAAATATGTTTCTGGAGACAAGCCTTCCTTAATTGTTTTCATTTACCCACCTTTCCTCTGACCAGAGCACACAACAGCCGAAATCTCTGCTCTTAGAAGGTAATGACCTAGCCTTGATGACACTTTCATTCGCATTTCCAAAATACCCTAGTATGTAGCTCAGGGAGATGTAAAAATGAGGATACCTATGGTCTAGTGTAACTAGAGTCACTCAGAGACTAAGAAAAGAATGGCAGGGAATCAAGTGTGTATCTATAGTCTTGCTGAACTGCTGGTATCTCTTTCTTCAAAGCTTGGGATGAAGAAAAAGAAGTTCATGCCTTACAACCATCAACACAAGTACTTCTTCAGTGAGTATCCCTGTTCAAAAATATCACAGTTTTCACTCATTTACCACTTAACCTCTTAGGCCTGACTTAATACCTTCTAAGGGGTATAGGGGGAGCCCAGACTACTCTAGTTTCCCAAGCCAGCAGAAATTCATAGCCAAAGAATGCAGGACAAATGCAAATGGTTGAGATTTATTATGAAACAGTGCAATGTGGCAAAAATCTGGGAATTTGTGGAGTAAGACGAGACAAACAACAGCATGAGAAGGAGCTAGTAGAGATGTATTACAACACTTGGAACAAAAACCTCCCCAGGACTCAACAGGGATATTGGTTTCTTATCTCATTATATATTCTAACTCATTCAGTCCTCACATATGTATTCTCATACAGAGGGATTATACATCCTCTGTATTTTAGTGTATTCCTTTTTCAGAATAGTGTATTAGAATATTGAATGTAATACAAGGAATATTGGAATGTTTGGCTGACATACACTGCTCCCACCTTGAAAAATAAAGTAAAAATGCTGTTAAGTGACCTCCACACTCTGGAGATAAATGGAGAGTCTCAGACTTATTTTGATATAGTAAAGATAAAGGTTCCCTTGCTCAAAAGCCAGTTGAGTCCGACCCTAGGGTTGCGGTGCTCATCTCCGTTTCAAAGCTGAAGAGCCAGCGCTGTCCGAAGACGTTTCTGTGGTCATGTGGCCGGCATGACTAAACACCAAGGCGCACGGAACGCTGTTACTTTCCCACCGAAGTGTTACCTATTTATCTACTTGCAATTTCTTGCTTTCGAACTGCTAGGTTGGCAGGAGCTGGAACTAGTGACGGGAGCTCACTCCGTCATGCGGCAACTCGGGTCTTGAACTGCTGAACTACTGACTTTCCACAGACTGCAGTTCAGCGTCTTAACTACTTGAGCCACCGCAGCTTTATATTGCTTTATCTATATACTAATACCGAATTGGCCCTGGTGTGCGGATAGCTAAATCCGCACATCGGGGGGACCTGGGGGGGAGGGAGAGGTTTGTGCACACGTGGGGCGGTCCCCACGTGTGCACAAAAATCCTAAATGTGGGAAAAAACATCGGGGGATGTTTAAATCCCACCGAAACTCACAGAGCGTCCCCTGCGCATGCGCAGGGAACACTCTGCAACCGCCGCTATTCTATTTGCCTATAAAAACGAGGCACGGTGGGCCTGCACCCGCTGCTGCGGAGGGGCCCGGGGGACGGTCTCCGGCGGCGCTTCTGCCCTGTGTCCGGGGAGGGAGGAGTCACTGGACTGCAGAGCGGGGGGCCCCCCGTCCCGCCGGCCTGGCCTATGTCATTTCCCGGCTTGCCGAGAAGGGCCGGGGTCAGGCCT